AGACTTTAAGTGTATATGTCGCTTTATAAAGCGTGACTTGTGTGACCAGGTATAACCATTAAGTGCAACTCTGTCATGCAACAGCCCGAGTGTGTTTAAACAAAGTTTCTTCAAACGCTACAGGTGGTTTTCTGTACCAAACGTTAGCTTCCAGTCAAATCATGCATGATGCGCTGGTACTGTGAGAGACTCTCACCTTTTACGAGACGTTCCGTTGTGGACTGTTTCTCCGGCTTGTCTTTATCCTTTCCTGACATGTTTCCACTGAACGCTAATGTGTCGGGGCTTAAATCTCGAACACTTCTCAGTCCGCTAGTCTCAGGACCAGCTAGCACCCAAGTCTGGCCGTCACCTCCGTCTTGACTTTCGGCTGGGGGGGTGGGGGTTCAGAGGCACTACTACTTTTATGTTCGCCCTCCCTAACGAACTGTGCAGACTAGAGAACGACAGAGGTCCAGCTTTTGTTGTGGTTTGACTAGCTAATAACGTAGCTAGCTCGCAGAAACATTAACACTAGCGAATAACTATAGCACAAAGTAGGAATTTTGACACTGTCGTAGAAATACAATTAACGCAAACACTGACAAGCGCTTGATGGTCTATATTTGTCAAGTGCAGCAAATAATACCCGGTTGTTACCCAGAGGGAGGCTGCCGTTAGCAGCTAATCCGATTTAGTTACTCTTTTTCAGCTAGTTAGCCAGCTAACATCTTAACGTATTGGCAAGTCGGCGGACAGGCAAAGACAGCAGCGGAAGACTGGCGTTTCATCTTCAGTGTGCGGGGCGCTCGTTGAAGGAAATAGTGACAGCAGCACGCGAATCGCGATTATTCTGAATGCATAAAGAGCGCAAGTCCTCCCGAGATGCAGACAGCGTCTTGACAGAGTATCCTCCTCCACCTCCTCCTCCTCCTCGGATTAAACTCTAATCTGACAGTGAGTGAGGAGCAGCGGCGGGTTTCCTACAACATGGTGGAGCCCATATGACGTGACTATGGAAACGCAACACGTGATTTAAGGGTGCGTTCAAAACGACAAACCCACTTCTTCGTATTGTTCTGTTTTTTTAAAGTAACCCGCAGTTTGCTTGGTTGCTACATATAAGCGAATGGAGAGACTGCCACCAAATACCACGCCAGCTAATAACGAGTTACTATGTCAACCGTGACAATGTCTCCCTCTGGCGTTCTCCTTTGGATTGTCATTTTACTAACTGTCAATGAACGCTTCCTGTTTTATTGATTTCCAAGTTAACTAATGCAAAGTTCGATCGTATAACTGGGAAACTGGTCTTAGCTGATACTTTAGAATGTGTGATCTTATATAGAAAATTTATATATAAGAAAGGGTTTAGAATCTATAGGAAGACTTAAACATGTGAATGGTTGTTGTTAAAATTTCCGATTACGAGGTAAAAGTAATCCTGTGAGCCAACCGCTCAGGCTTTAGACTGCTTTAATTGCTCAGCTCATACATTTAAAAAAAAAACCTGAATCCAAATTATGTCAAATTGAGGGGATATGCTTATTACGGTCATTTCAGAATCCCAGCTCTTGCTGTTCAGTACAGCAACTCTGCTCTACTATCCTGCTGTTTAGACCTTCTGTTTGTTAGAAGCAGCCAATTAGAAGAAAGCTGGCTTAAGAGAGGGTGGCTTAAAAATGCTTGTTTTTGTCAATGAATAAAGAGCCTCACCCATTTAAGATAGATAAGGATTATTTTATGAATCATGTAAAGCTAGCTAAGTAGATCCACTTTAGAGATTAATAATAATAATGTATACTTTATTGATCCTCATGGGGAAATTCCTCTCTGCATTTAACCCATTCACTAAGTGAAGCAAGGGGAGCAGTGTGTAGGGACGGTACCTTGCTCAGGGGTACCTCAGGGTAGCCGTTCAGTGGATTCGAAACCCCCGACCTTCCGATCATGGGGCCACCACTCTACCTACTGAGCTATCCCTTCCCTTTATTTATTTAGTACCCACAGAAGTGTAACTAAAGGGTCTCATGTTTTTTTTTTCTCAAGGAATAGCTTTGAATTCAGTAAAGGTGCACACTGTTGTGTTTCAGTGCATTTGCAGGTCCAACAAGAGACAAAGTAGGTTTTTCCATTGCATGGATTCAAAAACACCTCTTATTAATACACAACATTTATGATGTAGTAGCCTATTTAACCTAATCATATTGTAGTGGACAACCACTCTGCATGGACATATGTTTATATCAAATAAATGTAGAGTTGAATTTTAAAGACTGACAAAGCCTGGAGGCTTATTGCTCAAGAGCACTTTAAAGGAGTTAGACTTCTTTGTAATTCTTTTAAGGAAGGCATAAAGAAATGACGGGTGGCTCAACAGTTATACTCTACAAATACATGAGCTGGGGGAAAAACAACTAAACTCTGGATTTCTGTATCTTAATCTAATTCACACTGCCATACAAAACAAAACAGAATTATATTCAGAACTGCTTTTCCCAGCCTGCACTGTGAGTAATTTACTCACTGTACTAAAAATAAATACAGCAGATTGAAATTGTGATAGATTTCTATACAAAGTTTTTCTTTGGACACTAGCCGCTTTTCAGTTGAATCTTTGTATCTGACTAATTTTACAGGAATGTTTTTTTTGTTTTGTTTTGTTTGCTAAGCTACTTAACATTGACCCATGAATTCCAGCATAAAAAGGCACCAACCAAGGGATAGATCAAAGCTGTTTCTATGCACAATAGACAACAGACATAAAATAGCATTTTTGCTGCAACAAGGTGATTCCCAAAGAGCTATTAGCCTAAAACTAGAGGCATGGAGGACAAAAGAAGAAAGGGCAGGTTCAACAATCACGTACATCTGTTCAAAGAAGATTTGTACAAACTGTTTGTGCCATTTATGTTTGCACCTTTCGATAAATTGCTGCACCTACTTTGCAATTTCCTGGAAAAAAAAAATATAAGAAACGAGGGGTGGTTCGAGACTTTTGCACATTACTGTGTGAACTGTGGCACTGTTGCCCACATTAGAGGACGTTTTCATTGCATAACAACTATGGAACACTAGATGGCAGTCTTATTTCATTGTCAAAAAGTAACAGGTCTGTGAAACTGAGGAAGCTGTGGATTACAAAGAAAGCCCTGCAAAAAACAGATACAAAAAGAACAGATTTATTGAACTTGAAAATAGCATTAAATTCCACTTAAACATTCATTATAAGTAAATACCTACAACATTACACTGAAATTATCACCAATCACATATAAAACCATGGATGCAGAGGATCAGTTCGAACACAAAAAGCAGCTCAAGAGCTAAAAAAAAAGAAAAAAAAAGAAAAAAGAAAAAAAAAAGGTAGTATTAAATAGGAATCCTCAAAATGAACACAGAACAAAGGCCATGCACGAAAGAATTATCAGTTGTTAGTCGTTAGAAATGCTGGTTCATCGAGACGTTGATGCTTTAGCTTCTGCTTTTTCCTGCTGACATTTGCTTACATGTGAAGTTCAACCACATGAGACATGACACAAGTGATTGACGAGCCCTGTTATTTTACCATTTAAAGAGAAAAGGAAACACTAAATACAAAAACCAGTAAGATCCCTCCAGGCGTTGGAAGCAGAAATAAAAGCACCACTTGGCACAGAGCCTGGGGGAGTGTCCCGTCTCTCTGGCACATAAGTATGGGCTTTCTGCTACCGGTGAGAAAGCAAAAACAGTCAGGCTTTTTTTTTTTTTTTTCTAAACTGTCTCGTGGAACAGAGAGTCAGCGGGAGAGGGAGGAGATAATGCTCAACCTGTTTTGTTTTCATTTTTCATGTTAATCTGAGGCCGGGGCGTAAGGTGGGGATTCTCTATGTGAACATAAAGAAACTTGGAGTAGTCAGCAAGACGTCATCAACGTCACTTCAAGTGTAGGCACTCGTGGCTCTTCAACAGTGCACAGCGACCGCAGTCAGGAGGAGAGGGGGAAAAAAAATTGATTTTTTTTTCCAAAACAATTGCACCAGAATGTTTCTCCCAAACCAGGTTAACCTCTGCCTCCCATCAGCACACCTGGCTTGCATGTACATAAGAAGAGTGTTTCAGCTCAATATCACAAACAGATACGTTAGGAACGATGGTACCTAACCCTACTGGTACATAAAAAATAAAAATAAAATAAAAAACTAACGCGGAATGATGTGGGAAGTCTTTGGTGCTCAGTGTGACAGAAAACTGATGAGATCCAAAGAACTGTTGGCATCACTTCCAACCCCAACTGAGGGTGTTAACGACATAAAAGAGGAGTGTAGCACAGGAACCCACAAACAAACAAACAAACAAAACGAACAACAACACACATCTTGAGTGTACTGTATGGCTATACACGAATCCTTCATTATGCGAGGCCACGCCGGCCTACTCGCTCTCTATTTCTTACAAGCTCAGCCTCCCATCGCCTTCCTCAACAACCCCTTTAAAAACTTGTGCCCTGAGATGGACCAGTCAGCCATTCTTTTACACGTGTCGATCAGTCTATCCTGGCTATTATTAACATAACTCAGTACGCTATCATAAGAAGATGCTGAAATTCAAAGATTTCTATGTACCTTATGAATGTTTCCTATTTAGAAAAGAAAAAAAAGTCACAGCATAGATGCAGTTTTCGCCTGAATATTCTGGGAACTATTTTCATCTACACTGCACAGTAATTAGGGTCTCTCCTTGCTTGCATTGAAGGTATCAGTAAATTAGTGCTCTGCAGATGGAAATGACTAATTGAACCCTTTTTTTTTTTTTTGAAAAATCATAAAAAAGTTGAGGAACATGTTTGAGGAAAGGTGAGAAGATGGCTGGGAGACAGAAAGTGCTGATAAATGAGGAGTCCCAGCTCAGCAGCCTGCAGACTCACGCTGTCACCACAGCCTGCTGCGCTTCCCCTAAAGGTGCTCAGGCTGGACAAGAGTCGAAGACGAACTCGTCATTTTGTTGTTGGAGGATTGTTGGTGAGAATGAGATGCGAGCGGGAATCCATAGAGGTTTATTGGAGATCTGCTTCGGCCGACCAGACCAGCCGGTGCAGGTCTGCTTTCTTGTGTTGTGTTTGGTCGTAATCCAAGAAGGCAGACAACACAGTTCCAGTTCCAGTAGTGACAACTTTTTTAAATTTACTGCATGATGAATCCAGGCTGTGGGGCCATCTGGGGTGGGGCCCTCTGAGGCAAAGCAGGGGGGTACTGAGAGAGGTAGCTGTTGGGGTAGCCAGAGGGGATGTTGGGGAAGGGTTGCCCTGTTCGGGGAGGAATGGGTGGGTATTGAGATGCTGGGTACGAGAAGGGAGGCTGTGGCTCAGCGGTTGGAGGTGGACTTAGAATTGGTGCTGGCTGGGATGGAGGTGGCGGTGGCTTCCTTCTGGGCTGAGCGAGGGGGGAAGAGGAGCTGCTGCCAGCCTCGCTGAGGAGAGAAGCAGCTCCGGAGATTTCCTGAGAACGGGAGGGAGGGACTGACAGCTGGGGCAGCCGCTGGCCCTTCATCACCATCTCCTGCAGCTTCTCGATTTTAACCCGTCTCAGGTGGGCCAGCTTCCTCTTGTTCTGGTAGGCATCGATAAACGAATCCAGAGTCATCTCCCCATCCAGTAAAGAATCAGCCATGTTCTGTGGACAGAAGGGATTTGGAGCAGAGTTAGAGAGAGAATAAACAAGGTTAATCCAAAAATAAATAAATAAAAATGCTGAAAAAGTTTCCACTGAAATTACGCTGTCAGTGTGAATGGCTGCAATAAGAAAAGGGGTCTGAAAATTTATTTATTTATTTTTTTTAAAAACGCACAAAATATTTGCACAAATTTTAGGGCTCTGGTGGGTCGAAGTTTCTAAAAGCAGAACGGGACTTCCTTCTTCCCGACTGTCACAAAGTGCATGCTGATAAGGGATCCTCTATTCCTGATACTGTGGGGTCTCTACCTGGCTAAAAAAAAGTGTCTTGAGATAATGGCGTTTTGTGAACTGCTGCTACATGACTAAAGCTGAATTGATAAGACAGAGAGTGTCGACATGAGTCACACTGATAGGAATAGCAACGCGGGAGAATCACTCACTGTTGACGAATGTAACATTTAAAATGATTCATCTAATGGTGGGTTCTCTGCTCACTCACTTCCATTTGGTAAAATGTCACAAAAAGTGACAATTTTCCCACATAAACTGAGCGAACTAATTCAAATATCACTTCAACACTACACTACTAAACTATATTAACACTACTCATCAATGGCAGCAGCCTGCTCTCTATGTGGGTGAGGGACTGCATGCTTATATAAGAAGTCTGATATTTATCAGACACGTACAGAAGCACGAGTCTCATCTTTTCCACATCCATCTACCACATTTACAGTATATATTTTATACTGACAACAGTCAGCGTACAGTTATTGACTGAAGAATCGAAGATGGAGCTAAATCATCGATCAGTGGGGTTTGATATAATGTAGCTCTGTGTTTGATGCTAGAAGACGCAAACCTTTTAGAAACACCAAGTAAAACAACGTCTGCTACACTTAGAGTACTGAGTATAAACACTGGCAACCATACCAGTTTACGAGTAGTTTGTATTCTAATGTTTTTATCATACCAGGAAAAACAGCCGACGCACATCCTTGTTTCCAAATAAACTGGGACACTTTAAAAATGCTGTCAGGACCTGACGCCATACAGTGATATACTTTACTCTATCAACATTTGTGAAATGTGATGCTGCCATCCAAGTATCATTATTTTTAACAATACTTGCAACCAAAGAACTTCACGTGCGTGCTCTTGGGAGCATAAAGGGTAAAAGATTTGCACAGCAGCTGATTTTAAGCAGCCAGTCAGTGCAGAGACTAGCAGAAGAAATGTCACATTCAAATATGATCTGTGATCACACGCTCTTAAAAAGAAGTTCAGCTGCACAAATCTGAGATTTAACTCCTGCGTAATTAGGCCATGACTGTTCATACCAAAAATCACTATCACGACCATGATTACCACAAATGTTTTCGTAGAGGAAGTTGTAGAGGAAGTTTTGTTTTGTTTTAGGCTGCCCAGATTTACAGTTATTCAAGCTGTGAAACCGATTGCATATCCCTGACAAATTTATACTTAAGCAATTTGATTGATTTGGAGAATATGGCAAATAAATCCAGTGTGGGAAGTGCCTGGAATGTAGGAGGAAGTTTGTACTGACAAAGAATAGCTCAGAGTAGCTCATTAGAAACAAGCTCATGTTTGGGAACTTCACCACTGTTATTAAAATGTCAACTGAGAACAACTCGTAGCGAGCTACTGCAGAATGCGATTTACACCACACTGTATTGTTCAGTCTATATTTTACTGTTCCTTTGTGAGTTTAGATTTCTTATTAGCTGTAGCACTCCTGTTTTGTTTTGTATTTTTGTGACATGTTAAGGCCTATTTAGGGTTGTGTGGTACTGGTTCATGTTAGGAGTTTCTGTAAAGTTCAAAAATAAATGAGAAAACCACATGTTGGAATATTTTTAATGATAAGCACAGTTCTTACATGACTGTGTATAATCTGATGAAGAACACCTTAAAACACTGACGGGACAGGCAGCAGTCACCTCTATGTCAGCTATTCTGCTGCCCACATACTCTCCAACAGGGATCTTAGATATGAACAATGAAGCCTCTGTAGGAGAACACACCATCAACTAGAGCAGCAGGTATAAGAATTACTGACCGAGGATACATGAAGTCATCCGTGGTGACAGCTGAAGAATGCTTACCTCTGTTTCCTCCTCTATTTTGGCTCCTTCTGCCTGAAGCAGGGCCAGCAGAATATCCAGAGAGGTGTTTCCTGACTTGTGGTCTGTTGAAGAGGAAGACAGAGGAACGACAAAGATTACTGTGCTGGGCCTGAACTGGGAGGAGACGCGGTCGCTGTTGGCAGCAGTCAGTCAGAGTTAACCGTGCTTGTTGGATAACCGGAATTGTTTTCCACAATGTAAGAAAGCAAATACAGGTAGCAAGTCAAACCCATAATTCTCTCATCTCTTGTGAGCTCTCTGATGTAAGTGAAGTAGTAGAGCTGTTCACAATCCTTCAGGCATTTGAGTCACGGGATGATTACGTAGTGTTTACACACTGCTCAAAGGAACACAAATGTATTCTCAAACCAAGGAGCTCATAAAAAGACATCGCTTTAAACATGAATGTTCTGGCATTAAAAGGTTTCAATGAGCCTGTTACACAAAGCTGAGGCGGGACGTGTGAATGCTGCCAGTCAGTGTCCGGGGACTGCCACTTCCAAACCGTCAGAGCACGTCTGTTTGCGGTGAACTTGCAAAGCTCAACTGAGTCAACTGAAACTGCCCTGGTGTCTCCAAGGAGGAGCACAGTTTTGTTTGTGTTTCTATGCAGGGATGAAAGTCTACACCAGCTGGAGCTGGGACTGCATCCTGACGGTGAGACCAAGAACACCAAACTACTCTCCATCTACACACAGTCCAGTCTAACCTGATGAGCTCTTCTGGACAAATAAATCAAGATTTCGAGCTGATATAGAGCAACACTGGTAAACATCCATGCTAGAAAGCTACCTGTAGCTCAAAAGTGCAAACATTAACATGCTGCCCCTTGACAGCTGGAACAGACTCCATCTACTGGTCTAAGGAAGCTTGATTTCAAGAGAAAAATCCAGTACAGGTTGGCTCATTGGTGGTACTGAACAGCAGGCGTTCTTTGTTCTGATTGGTTACATTCTGACTGTATCTAAGGCAGAGACAGACTAGCTGTAGAGCTTCAAAAACGCTGCCATCGCTTGAAAAGTCCAAGACATTTTAAAGACAATCCGAGTGTCCCTTCATTAATATATTACATTACATATATTATTACATATATTATCATTATTATAACAACAAGCTTGGGTTCCCCAAAAGGAATTGCTAAAGCACCTAATCCTACCCCCTCATCTCAGTCTGGTCCCACTTTCCCTGGCAGCACCACTCTAAGATTTCCCAGCTGTCTGAGCGTGTGCTTCCTCCCACATGAGACTAAGCACGCCAAGTTGTGTTCCAAGGCCACAGTCAAAGTCTCATGCAGCTTTTCTGGTGTATTAGTTCCGAATGTTGGGTCTTTTATTAAGGGAAACGGAAAACAAAGGAAGTTAGTGGTAACCTTTTTAATCAGTATGGGCGAACGCTGGGATAAAGAAGCTTCATTAAACGAATCCAAAGGTTGTGTGGAAAACATGACAGATAGTGAAGGCTTTTTCAGACACACCTTGTTAATAGTCTTGATAATTACACAGTGGGTGATTGTAGTTACCTGAACTACTGTCTAACCCTTTTAAACACTAACGCCGAAATGTACCAACACATGTTGTCCTTGTTGTGATCAGATCACATTTAACACACTAGCTGAGGACTTGAATACTAGCACAATGAGATTTAGCTTGACAGAGTACACAAGAGCACACACACACACACACACACACACACACACACACACACACACACACACACACGACGGTTTTAGTTAATGATCAACTTTAGATAAAAGCTGCAGCCTGGCTGCTTGTCATCTCATCAAGAAATAACACAATCTGTGAACAACTTTAACCCTTTCAGTACAAAAACCTTAAATAATGGACAGTATTTGATGCTCGTCTTTACCACACGTGATGCTAAAGTGTGACAAGGTCATAAAACAGCCTTCTACGCTGAGTTTAAGTATATTCTGTTAAGACTAAGACAAAAACATTCTTAGTGTATGTATCTTGTTTCAGATATTTCTTTCCACCCATGTTCAACAATTACGATAAGTTAAATCACTTGTCGCTAAACAGGTCAAGGTTAACCACTATAGCCTATATTGCTTTCTCTTTATGCGGGATGTGAGAAAGAAACTGAGCGCTCACTTTCTTGGCACTTTTTTATGATCATCATCTGCATCATATGTGCCAAATGCTGGAGACTTTTGATCCCACCATTAAGTTGCTGATAGAAGATCCCTTCTTATTCTTTTAGGCCACTACAATGATAATGGACAATCATGGAAACAGACTTACAAAATTCATAATTTCCACTGACTTTGTGAAGAACAGACCATCGCTACCTTTATTACCTACGGCAAACTTTCAGGAAATATAAGACAACGTAAAACTTTATTTTTCTTGAATTTAATTTCAGCCTATGGAAGCCCCGTGTTTAGAGGTCAGATTTTCCTGGAAATCCAAAACGCTGCCCTTAGATTCCAAAAAACAAAAAACTCCCTGGCCGGGGCTTCATGCTTGACACAAAGCCTTTTTCCGGGGTGAACTCCCATCTCTTATTGTTTCCACCTCGCTCCCATAACAAGGCAGATTCTCAGGCAGATCAGCGCACAAAGCTCCAATTCTCTGACTCAGTGGAGAATTGGGTGAACACAACACCAGTCTGGGCCTAGAGATCATGGGACGGCCATTTAGTAAATGAATCCACATCAACTTCTGCTGTGAATATGTGAAAAGGGGGAGTTGTTGGTTGGTTGGCCTGCCTGCCTGCCTGCCTGCCTGCCTCTCTCTCTCTCTCTCTCTCTCATCCTTCCAACTTCCACACTCCCTCCCACCCACTGTGGCTGTTTTATAGCAGCTTGCCTGGCAGCACAATGCTCCACTGAGGGCTGGCGTCCTCAAAGGCAGTGGATAGTGGTGATAGAAAAGAGGGGGAGTGCCTACTGGACAGTAAAGGGTAAAGCAGAGGCCATATAATTTCTGGAGAAAAAGAGAGGAAATGAGGGAGAGCTGGTGTTTGACAATATGCAAACGAGCGCACAACAAGCTACTGTACGTCTAATCTCCCATCTGGGTCAAATGACTGTTTCTCTCAGCTCTGAGCATCGCTGTCCCTCCCCAGCTACTCTCCAGTAAATCCACAACTAGGACAACTACTACATGGCAGGTGGGGGTGGGGGGGACACTGGGTAACCTACATCTGACAAAAGCCACTTCATGCTGGCAAACAAAATCACAAGGTCACAAAAACACGCTGGATTGGTATAATATCAGTCCAAGCACCAAGAAGAGAGCTTAAAATATTTGACGCCGATAACACGGTAACAAGGAAAAAGATTCTTGAGAACTAAAACTTATTTAACGGAACTTCATTTTCACAACACAGAAATCTCCCGTTGACTGTGACAACCTTTGAAAGCTGTGAGAGCCTGTCTTTCCAGCAGAGACGGAGCCAAAGTCAAACTTTTATCAGAGCACAAGAGGAATAAATGACTTGCATTCTATTCTGAGTGAGCTGCTTAGCAACCGTTGCGTCACCAAGGTCACAAACATCGTCACGCCGTCTTCTTCACATGCTGAAGTGCTGTGAAGGTATGCCGGTGAGGGACGCTACAAGCCTGTAACACTTTCATGAGTTTCTCAACCTGAGCTGCAGTTACATGTTGAACAGCACTTCTGGGAACAAGGCTGCTGAGGCCTTCTACAGTAAATGTGACAACTGGTCAAACAGGTCTCTTGAGTGTGTGTTCATGTACACAAACAGAAGAAACAATGAGGAACAAAGGCTATGTACCACATCACCTTCCTAGCAACAGGAAACTGCTATCACCTTTAGTTTCTTAGGGTTTCCTCACCAATTATGACCATACTGTGTGTTCTGCAGCACACCCATAATGATATGTTGATTACATCAAACAGGTAGTGTAAAAACTATAACAGAAGCTGTTTTTGACTGGATCACAGATAGAATCACGTCAGGACACTGAAATAATAATAAACCATAAAACAATCCTAAACAGGTCGTAAAAATACCCCAGACATTTTCATAATCAACAGTGACTATGAAATGACAGTTGTGTTGTGACTGCTTACCTTTAAGTCTCACGTAAATAGGAAGACTGATTTAAAAAAACAAAAACAAAAAGAAACCCACAACAAAACAAAACAAAGCAGAAACTTAGAGAGAACTTTGGCACTTGCACGGGTAAAAACAAAGTAAGATTAACTAAGCATTTCCACCACTAGATCAGTAAGTAACCAAAACCATCTCCTCATTCGCCAATTAGGGTTTTAAAAAAGAAAAGTGATCCATTCCTCACCTCCGTCATCAAAGCTTAGAGAAGGGTGATGGGGACGTTGACCACTGGCACTATGACCACTTCAATTTTTTTTAACTCAAATGTTAAAAAATGTGAAGGAAATAAAAATAACTGATTCCACTACTAATCATGAATAGAACAAAATATATTAAAAAGATTAAATAAGGTCCCCTGTTTATCATTTGCAGTCTGAGACAGAGTAGCTCAGGCATGACTTGCTTCCGTTTCTAAATGCAAACAGAAATGTTCACTCTGTTCAGAAATGATGTGAAGGCCTTGTGCACAGATATTTAAATGTACTTACTGTTAGGATGTTAATATGTGAGAGTAAACTTGTTTTCCCCACAGTGTACTACAATAATGCAACAAGGAGTTTAAAAAGCACAGCTGCGATTAGCAACACACCCTGTGTGTGTGTGCCTTTTCCGTTTCAGGCTATTCCCTTGAGCATTTCTGCAAGTATCACTTCTCAGTGACTTCACGGATAACAGTGTTCAAATTTCCTTTGGACGTTAAAAATTCAAGACAAACCGTTCAATAAAAAATGCCTCTAAAACTCTCTCTCCACACTGCTGCTGCCGTACCTAAGGTGGACTTGCGGAGTTGATAGGATTCAAAGCCCTCCTGCAGACTGCTGTAGCGCTTGATGAGCTGCTCTTTCTTGTGCTCCAGTCTGGGCTGCAGGGCAAGGTTTTGCTCTGCCAGGGTTCGGTTGTTGCCCAGTGTCCTCTCCTTGTTCTGCTGGACTTCTTGGATCTACAAAACAAGAAATAAGTGTTATTAGTATCTGTCTTGAGAAAATGTCCTTTTTCAACACTGAACGCCGATATAATCATCAATAATTAAAATGTTTGGTTAGAGGAATCTCCTACAAACATCTGCACATGTTTAGAAAGACAAATTCTGGCCATGAAAACCCAAACTTCATCTGCCTTGATCCACACCAAATATTCAGTATTTTTAAACGTCTTTAACCAAGCAGCAAGATACATGAAAAGCAATCTATATAAACAAAAAAGAAAGTCCTGAAAGGCCTTGCTCAAAGCTATCGTTTGTCATTTTGGATATTTTCCATCTAAAAAGAAAAATATGATAATTGGTCAAATTTATTATTATCTCTTTTATTGGGACAGCTGTTGAACATAACAGTAGTTTGCCTTTTTACATTTTCTTTGCTGTCACATTTTAACTTATAATT